ACTCTTTCCTGCTTATGCAGGGGGTCGGACTCGATGATCTATTGAGGTCCCTTCCGACCCTAACATCTATGAATCTATGAAAAGATGAAAAACATTTCAATACAATTTGGCTGAGCAACAGATCTCAACACCTACTACTTAGGCCTAGTTAGGGAACCAAAAATAGTTGTGCCACAAACATATTTGGTATAGCCCCCCAACATACTGATCCAGGAGCAGGAACATGTCCAAAGCGCCTATACGGTCACTGTTTTCTGGATGTTTCTGAAAACTTAAGGTAAGGCACCTAACAGACGTTCACTTTAAAATGTGTTAAGAACCAATCCTCAATCCCAACCACCATACCATGACACAGTTACATGGCAGGACACACAATTTTGGGATCATGGATTAGATCCCAATCACGTGTTACTTGCTGGATAGCGGGAGTCTAGGCTCCTCGTGCAGCAGCAAAAGGAAACCAAATCAGCTGATTGTCTCTTCGGGCTCAGAACCAAACTGGTCCCTGGCCCCACCCAACAATCAGCTCAGTGCACAGGGAGCACTGGGAGATGTATGAACCCTGTGTGTCCTGCCCAGCTCAGTAATACAGATGCAGTTCAGTATCATGCTGAGTAAACACAACAGGGATGATAGAATCACTAAAAGAAATTTCAAAAAGCACTTAAAATGCTAAAGATAGTTGAATGTGTACCTGCATTATAAAAATGAAAAGAGGCATTATTGATATTTGGGATAAATATTATCCCATTTAAGGTTGGAAAAAAAAAATCAATAAAAGATGAAGCGTTAAAACACATACAAAAAGTAACATTAATATCTAAATTCAGTAAATTAGAAGAAAAAAACACCTTGTAATGAATTTGTTCTTTCAGCTTCAAGCCCTGAGTACCAACATACTTTTCTTATGACACAGGGAGAGACACAAATCATCAGTTTCCATAAATATGACACCACACTTCATTATGCAGACCCTCACAGCAAGGAATTTTATTAAGTCTATGTACTACTACTACTCATTGTTTGCATTCAAACTGTGTATAAACATGCATCTAAACTGAACCACATGACAGTAAATGTTCCTGCTCAAAAGCCCATGTACAATTCCTATGCACTAATGGATATTAAAGACCTGTATCAGATTAGTCAGACCAGTGGACATGGGAAAGCAAAGCAGAGTTCCTTACTTCTGAAAGTTTCTACTAGATTGTGTAGAATCTCTCAAATGTGTATCATATATGTATTTTAGCAAAAGCTGTAAATAAACTCATACTACTACCATCACCGTCTATGCATTTACTAACATGCAACAAACACCCTATTTTACTTTTAAGAATCTTCATAAAATAAGTTTTAAAGAGATGCATAGTTTTGCATGGGATCTCTTTTGGATTGCCATACAATACTGACAGATTAACACTAACATCCACATAGCTTCTTGCATCCTGAAAAATATCCAAGTGCTTTTTTTAAAAAATGTATCATTCACTACAGGAAGTAAGCAGTTATCTCTGGCACAGTTTATTTAAGACAGGAAAATAGTAACATCCAGTTGAAATTGCTCAAAGAAACATGGCTAGAGCCACAGAGTCACTTTTCATAAAACTTCAAAACAGTGATCACCTTCTTTGATATAAATACATCATTGCTGAAGATGATACTATGGTTGCAACTTCTATACCTGTTTTAATATTTAGATGCTACATAACTGTACAGAGCATGCGATTCTCAAACAGGGTGCTAGGGCACCCTGAGATGCCACTGGATACTTTGAAGGGTGCCCTGAAATATGAGGAGATAAGTAGATAAACCCAGGATCAGGCTTGTCCCTGCCCAAATGATCCTCTAGTCTAATACCCAGCCCCTCTGCAAGGAGCTAAACACTGTAATGCATACTTTTTGAAATTCAGAGCCACTCAACTCACAAGAATTATGCAGTGCCTCAAGTCTAATAACCCCTGCTCTAGAGTAATGTATCACTTGCCACTCACAGAAACTCTCAAACTAAAGGAGGAGGAAGGACATATGCATGCCATGAACTCCAGAAATAAATATCTGACAGAAAAAGGACAAGAAGTTTCTGGGCTGCTGTTGAAACTTAAATGAAGCAAAGTTGGCCCAGAGCAGTGCTTATGAACTCTCCCCATTAGTTATATTTTCAGACCAGAAACACCCATAAATTCTAATATACAGTAAATCACCTATATGTACTTCAGCGCTGGAGTCTCAGATCAAAGACAGCAATTTCCTTTTCAGATATCAGTCTGTTCTGTAGGCATTTCTCTCTCAAACTCTAGACACACTAAACCTTGTCCTGGTCATGTGCTGGAGTTAGTGTCCAAAACTGTCCTATTACCTTGAAAACTTCCTAAAGTCAAATTAAAATATAAGTAAAAGGGGAGTATCTTTACCAGGCTGGAAAAACCTGCCCTGAGGAAGAGTAATGATAAGTAAGAGGGTGGAGAAGTCTCAACTTTGAGGTTAACCCCTTACCTTCCCTCTCTTGGATTTAAGATTGAAGGGGGTTAGAGTATTAGCATCAGACTGGAAGAGAGAAGGTACTTTAAAGATTCCATGCACCACCACACAGTAACTAGAACATAACTAGTTCAGTACCAGTCTCTTTTTTGGTGGGTACGGGGAGTGAAAGAGTACGTACATCAACATATTTCTTTCAGGCCAGTAGTTGAAATTAGAGTACCTATGCCAACATTTAAGATAATTTGTTTTACTGTTTCCTCATTATTGTTGTGAGAATTTCTATTATTAAATTAACACTAGCTCTTGAATAAGTTTAATAACTGATCATATCAAATACTTGTAGAAATCATATACTTACTATACTGTTCATTTCTGAAGACTCATAACTTCCACATGGATGGACACTCCCAATAGGCTCCAAGCCTTCTTCATCCCACATATAGGTTCCATCAGAACTATCGGATGGAGAAAGCTCAGAAGAGGAGCCAGCTCTGTAATTCATATCTGGAGACATTAAGTTGGTCCCAGAAGTATGCGTTGTGCTTTGATTTTTATCATTTGCTGCTGAGAGAAAGAGAGAGAGAGAGAGAGAGTCAATCCAAAACATTATTTACAGTAAAAGTATCATTTATGTTCTATGTTATTAGCAGGTAAAAGGGACTTGAAATAACTGTTGCAAACAGATAGCTAAAAGTAATTACTAATGTTACTAAGCTGTGAACTTAGAAAAATACAAGTGAAAAATATTAAAAATACCTTACACAGTAAGAGATGCTTGGCATAACAGATGTACATGAAGATAGTTTTTCAAGAGCTGGTACAGCCTTCCCCAAAAATCCTTCAGTGACATTGATTATATCATGACAAGTTACATATTTACTACTATGTGCATAATATTTGTAGCAATGTTATAGATGGAAACATTTGACTATTACAGGCCCTTAAAGTGTGGCTTAATTCATTTTACCTACACTTTTCTTATACCTTAAGAATTTTAAAAATATTTAGTTCAAATCTCGCTTAATTAAAAAGAACTACAACTTCTCACATTTTAGTTCTAATTACAGGCTCTATGTTAGTCCTACTTGCTCTTCTTTCTGGGAAGTTAACACATCACCAATAGAACAGAGCTAGCCACAGCACAAGCTGCCTAGAGAGAAAGTGTTTGCTACTAATTTTTTCAAAGAAGAGCCATCCAAGATACGGCAAAGCAGGGAGAAAGAGGAGCAACTTCTACAACCCCATGAACATGCTGGCAAAAAGGAAATATTTTCAGAAGCTGGTACAGGGAAAGAAGATCAGCCTAGAGAGAAGAACTGCAAAGGAGTTCAGAGAGTGCATTATGTTGAAAGACGGCCTTCAGCTGAATATCATGCTCTTTTTACAACCTCCAGCTTGTGAATAAACCAACACAACACATGCTCCTTTCAGTAGCTTATCAACTCACACCAGCGTCCTTCCACAGCAGGGATTTCTAAAAAGAGCATTCAGAGCCCAACTTAAGGTTTGAAAAAAATTAAGACTATTATTACCATATATACTCTAATTTACAACAAAGATTTTTGTCTTTCCATTCCCCATTCAACGTCTTCATCTTGGACTGAGTACAAGGGAGGGGGCAGATTGCTGCAGCTGCAGTTCTGGCCCCGACCTGGGTTTGGGGTCAGAGGCAGGGCCATAGCCTATTCCCCAACCACCTTCCCTCAGTTACAGCTGCAGCCCATCTCTAGCCCGAGGTACAGAGCACATAATAGTTCTAGCCCCATGCCACCAAGCAGTGGCAGCAGCTGTGGCCCTGGCTATAGCTCCAACCCAGACCCAGCACTAGAGCTGCCACTATCCTAACCACTGTCACCTGGACCAGCAGGGGCTAAAGCCACTACATGCCCTATGCCCTGGCCATAGTGGAGCCACAACTGAGTGCAAACTGGGAGGGCAGGGGAGAAACCAACAAACAGGGGGTTCCGGCACAAGGCGGGGGGCTTGACTCTCCCTGCTGCCTGCCCTCCTACTTCCCCCACTGCTTCTTACATCCCTATCATTGCTGCAGCAGTGGAAGGGGGGAACAAACTTAAAAACCTACCCCTAATAAATTAGATTTTACGCATGGAAAATTAACAAACTTATGAATTTTCCATGTACAGAAAATGGAGTGCTGACTTAAATTCAAAGTTGTCTTGGATTTGGGTAAATATACTAATGTATTCTTCAGTGCAAACCAGCATCTAACATAGAAACTGTGTTTAGAAAGTAAAATTATAGAAAACGTAATGTTCCAGCAACATATGTCTCCTTTACTTCTGCCTATCAGCAGATGCATAATGCTACCCCTCCCCCAAGACCTTGTAGCTGCATATCTACAGCATAAGAATACTACATAAGACATTTAGGATACTGTTTAGGTTCTAATTACATTTAATTTACTTGTATAAAACAGAATTTAATAGGGATCTACACCAGTCTTTTAGTAGGGGAGGGGAAAAAATAGCCCTACAACCCTAATCACGCAGAAGTCATGCTTGGTAAGGGTAAGAAAGAATTATAGGGGATTCGGAGCTCCTCTTGAAATAAACAAGCAAGCAAAATGCAGCAGTTGTTTGCTATAGGAGCTATAATTTTTTATTCTGAATTTGTACAAAGTTCCTAGGCATAACATAGTTTTACATCTCCTTAGGAATTTAGAAACATAGCTCCTATGGCAAATGTTTCTGCCATGCTCTATATGGTTAAATGTAAAATGATCTATTAAAGGTCTTCTGAAGACATTTAAACTTTTACAGACGCTTGTACAGCCAGGAAAGAATGAGATCAGGAAAAAGCAGCAGATGATTTTGCAACAAAAATGATAAAGGGCATGGATGGTAAGTCATACAGGGAGAGGTTGAAGGAAGTAGACGTTCAATTAGCAGAAAAGTTGCTTAAGCAGACAGGATAGCGATCTTCAAATACCTAAAGGTCTGCCATAAAAGGAGGGGAAATACCTTTTCTAACTGCAGAGAGCAGGATATAAACCAATGACTTGAAGCTGCAGCAAAGTAGGTTTAACTTGGATACCAGGAAAGACTTCTTCACTACTGCAACAACAAGGCAGTGGAATTGATTGCCTTGGAAAACTGCAGGCACTCCATCACTGGAGATGTTCAAGAGGATGGAGAGCCACTGGTTGGGAGTGAACTGGGCATAACTATGCTTATGTTCTACTATACCTATCGTGCTTCTGGGTTTTGCTGTTTGCTGCATAGGGCTAGGAGGGAATTCCCTCCTCCTCACTCTCCCTCCCCCTGCTGTTTTTTTAAGCCTTCCTCAGAGGCATTGGGTGTTGGCTGCAGTCAAGGCTGTGGATTGTGACTGGGCTATGCCAATGTTCCTGCTGGGACATAAACCTAGAGCAGGGGTAGGCAACGGTTTTTGGACAGTGCTGAAAAACACCATAATGCCTACCTGGGAAGGTGCTGGAGTGCCAGCAAGGCAGAAAAAAATGAGGGCAAGGGGTACATGGCAGGATACCCTGCTTGTGTCCCTTGCCCCCCACCCAAAGCCCCAGGCTCTGTGGCTGCCAGCAGCTACCCTGGCTGCTGCCAGTGACGGAGCCCAGGCTGCTCCCAGCAGGGCTTGCAGAGTCCCAGAGGCAGGGGGATGAGCCTGGCTCAGCTGTTTGCACTCTGCCCACTGCTTGCTGCAGCTGCCCAGAGCCCGGGCTGGCTACAAACAGCTGCGCCAGGCTCATCACCTCAGTGCCAGGAGCTGGGGAGAGACAAGGGCTGTGCTGCCTCAGGCCCCTCCCCCACCGCCCACTCCGAGGCACGCCTGCACATGCCGTTGTGGGGCTGATGCTGGAGCCTGGCACAGCTGTTTGGAGCCTCCCAGCTACAGCCGGCCCCAGCTCTTGGGAGTGCTGACAGCCAGGACCCCGGGCTGCTCCCAGCAGCTAGCTGGGATGCTGCAAGCCATGCTGGGAGCAGCCCAGGCTCCATTGCTGGCAGCAGCTACCTGGAGCTGGGGCTGGCCTCAGCATGCCAAGCAAAATGGCCTCGTGTGCCAAACTTGGCACGCATGCCAGGGGTTGCCAACCCCTGACCTAGAGGCACCTGGCTAGAGGATCTTGCCCCTCTGCTTGGGGTCAGACTGATCGACATATTTGGGGTCAGGTAGGAATTTTACCCAATGGTCAGATTGGCATGTACTGCAGGGGGTTTTGCCTTCCTCTTTAGCAAAAGGGAGCTCTTCCTTGGACCTCAAGCGTTCTAATATAATAAAAGCCTCTGTCTGCCTGTTTGTCCGTAACGCTCCAGGCCAACTGCACGTGCACCGCTGAGAGGGTGTGCACTGAGTAGCTGCGAGGGCCTGGAGCATTATGGACAGAGGGGGCGAGGAAGCAAGGGAGCCACCACCCTTCCCCCCCACCCCCCAACAACAGCTGACAGAGATGGGGAGGCAGTGGGGAAGAAAGGAGAGAAAGAGGGAGGGGAGCAGGAAGGGGAAGGGGGGTTTCCAGTGGCAGCGTCCCCCTGCTGCAACTGCCCAGCCCTGACAACAGCTGGTGGGGAGGGAGGGAGGAGAGGGGGAGGGGAGGCATGTTGTATGCCACCTGGTATTGGTGACTGCTGCCGCATGCAAACTCCCCTCCCCACCCTGTTCCTGGGAGCCAGCAACAGCAGCACAGAGTGGAGTTCGAGGGGGGGGGGTGCACAGGGCCACACCTAGAGTGGTGCCCATGGGGCCGGACACAGAGTTAGAGTATTAAGTCTTGTATTGTGTCAAGGTAGTTTTACTAACAGATTAGACAATGAATTTGTATACAATGGTTTGGATAAGGATAATCCTGCCTCAGGCAGAGCACTGGACTGGTTAACCTATGGAGGTCCCTTCCAGTCCTATTTCTCTGTGACGCTCAGTCTCATGCAGGACATAACAGGCAATTACAGTGTCATGCACATAGATGCACAGCATGATGCACAAAATGATCACCAGAAAGTTGTTAAATTTCATTTAGTAACAGAGAGAATTCAGGTTCTAATACAGAGAATATCCATTAAGTTATAGCCCCACATAGTGTATACTAAACTAAGTATCAAGAATAATCATAATGTCATTAACATTTGGATTAACTTTGTATATCAGTGATTGACATGACATTTCTCACCTGAAGGGGCATAAAACAGAACACGGCTTTCTTCTAATAGAAGTCACCTTCATTTACTATCTTATATTAATACTATGGGCACATATGGAATATGGGATAATACGATATCCGAAACCAGATATAATCAAGTACCAAAAGTAATTCTTATGAGGTTAACTATGAACCTCTGCACTAATTTAAAAATACAAGGAGGGGTGGAAAATAAATTTTTAAAAAAGTGTTTATCCCAACAATAAAGACATAATTGGAACCAATTACATAATAGGTTATTATTTCCACTACAGAGATTTGTTTAAAGCTAGAAATTAAAAAATGAAAATCAAAAAAGTATTTACCAGACACATGTATAGCTATATCTAGCCAATCATCAGCATTACAGTGAGAACTTTCACTTTCCTTGAGAGAACTGAATGACTCTATTGGTGTTGCTCCATGCTCTAATTCTTGAATAAAGACTTCCTCTGAATGTGCTTCTATCATTCTATTTGGATCTTCTAAATCTATACAATCATCACTAAAGTCTTCGCTTAGGTCATTTTTCTCACAAGAGGACAAGGAAGATATAGATATTTCATCCACATCGTCACTCATACATAAAACTTTTGAATTATGTTTTCCCAAACTGTCATGCAGGATTTCACTTCCTTCTTTTCTGTGACTGTCATTTTTCATTGCATCTTTTTTTTCATCCATTTCCTTACTATTTGTTGATATCTCAGAATTATTATCCATGAAACCTGAGTCAGTAGCTGTGCTCTTGCTATCACCCACAGTGATCTTTCCAGTAAATTGTTGTCCATTACGCTTCAGGAAAGAAGGACGACTCATTTGGTATTCCAAAGCAGCTGCAGCTCCAGATTCATTTGATAACAGTGTTTTTTTTGAACCACAGGTTGATATGGCATTATATGCCCTAGTAAACCCATATTTTAAAGGTTCATTTCCACTGGGTATATTCAACTGTCGTGTATTTCTTGATAATAAAGTTGCCCTCTGAGATGATCTGATGGCTAGATGTTGATTCTGATAAGGCCTTGTGAGGTCCACAGCTCTGTTAAAGGAATGTGACCTGGTTAGGGATGCAGGGGGAAGGAAAGAATTCTGAATGGAATGTGAAAAACTTTGCGATCTAACCATTTTTTCACAGGAATAAGTTTCATTGTCTGTTGATTGTGCCAGACCCTCTCCTGAACTGTTCCTGGTGGCACCAGAATTAACCCTAGGTCTCTGTAAGCCTACAGAAGACCTATTTCCATAAAATCCATCTAAACGAGATTTTGGAGCATTGAGTCCAGAATACGAAGTTCTGCCTAATAATGTACCTTTGGAGAATTTTGCTGAACTAGACAGTACAGGCAAAGACTTTGGGTTTAATTCTTTTGTAGATGATACAAACATATTGGTTTGCTTGGATGTTTTCGATGCTAGTAAAGCAGTGTCATCCAAACCCACCCTGTGCACATCTTTACCAAATGTTTCTCGAGACTGAGAATACTTTTCAGAATCACTTATTTTTTCATTGGAATTATCAGCAAAGTTAGATTCACCACCACGCTGATTACAAAGTTGATATTTATTTGATTTTCTCCAGTTAAAAGAGGAAGACATATGAACAGTGCCATTGTGCTTGGTGCCACTTTTGCCATTGTTGCTTTGAGTAGTCCCTGATAAATTAACAGTGGTCCCATTTGACAATGGCTGTAGGACATTGCCTAAAGACTTTGTTTCATACTTCGGTAACCTGGAAACCAAAGATGTCCTGATATAATTTTTTTCTTCCATGAGATAATCAGGTGCATTGGTCCTACAAGGCTGCTTGAATCTGAGGAAGAGAAAGTGAAAAAAAACAAATCTGAATTAATACAACTCTAACAATACAGCAAAGCATATTCAGCTCATTTGTGTTTTGGAAGAAAGTATTTATTTATTTATTTTATTTTTAAATATTTTAAATTTAACAAAACTTTTTAGTTCTACAGGACTAGAAATTTCCTGTCTTTTTCATATAAGTGCACAATCCATTGTATTATCAAATAAATAAATTAATTAATAAAACAAAACAAAACCTAATTTTATAAGTGCATCCAGCTCTGTGTGTTTTCCTGCCAGTTCACCTCAGAGGGTATTTCCTGGCCTTTGGTTCCAGTTGTGATCTGTCCCAGAATACAGTGCCCCTAGCTTCCCAGTTCCCTCCTCCCTGCAGTGGAGCCAGGAATGTGGAAGCCTGGACTTGCCACAGGGCTCTAAGGTTTTCTACCCTTCCTGTTTCTCACCGGATTTGAAAAGATCAGCGATCCCCAGGAACTGTGGGCAATGGTGATCCAAGTCAGACAGCTATTGTGGCACTTTCCTGTGAATTAAGCCTGTCACTACCAAGATGGTGTGGGTAACAATATGCAACAGCTTCAGAGGCCACGTCTGTTCCATATACTAATACCAGCTGGTTCTAATTATAGGTCAACCCGTCTATAAGTTATCCACTTTTTTTGCCTCTTTTGAAAGGAAAACAATGGGCAGTGGAAGAATTTCAACTCATGATTTGAACAATATAGCAATGCTACAAAGGAACTAGACAGCTGCCTGGTCAAGAAGCTGAATTGTTCCTAATGCTTGGCAGCGAACACTGCAAGATTTCTAGATTAGTTTTCATAGCTTAATACAGTATTTAAAAAAAATTTTAAAAAGCACTACCCAGACTTGGTGCACTGATCATGATGGGAAACAAAGATGTTCACTCAGTGAAGCATAAGGCACAAAATTTTGAACACATTCAGAACTGAAAACAAGAATGCCAAAAAGAAACTACAGCTTGTCTCCTCACAAACACAGATAACAGGTTGCTTTAATTTTCAAGTGTCCTGTATCAATATAAAGGGAGCTTTTTTTATTGCTGTTTTTACTTTTGACAGGTAAAAATTGCAAAAGTAGTAATACTGCCATTCTAAAATTTCATAAATGACAACAGATGGCACACATTGTGAATGTCCCTGTTATACAGTTGTTAGTTGTAGCTGTGTTTGTCTTCAAAAGAGTGTTTGTGCCTGAAAACTTGAAAAGAACAATTTTTCCAACTATCTAGCTGGTCTAATAAGAAATATCACATCTACCCAAAGAACCTTGTTTGCCTGCTATACAGGGTTGGGTTGGTTTGGTTTGTTTTGGGGTTGTTGTTTTTTTTTTTGGG